ATATATATATATAAAATTGTATAATATACAATTATACGAGTTCATATCGAAAAAAATTATTTGATAAAAATTGACAATTTATCGTATTTGAATCCATATTGGTTTCGAAGTACATTTTTTAATTTTTGCGTCGATTCTTTGCCTTTCTACTCAAAGAATAGAATTTGATTTTCTTGCATGTATTAATTTCTGTCCTTCGAATAATCGTCGATTTTTGATTACGCAGCATCTAGAATTTCGATTTTGCACTCAGCAAAAAAAGCAGCATTGCAATTGTTGTAAAATTATTCTTTAACATATTGATCCTGCTTTTAGTTCCTCACTGGATCTAAATAATGTATAAACCAACAATCGTAAACAATTTTACAACAATTGCAAAGCTCTGCTGAGCGCAACAAATTTTATCTATAATTCGATAATACATATAGAACTGGAAAAACCAACAAATAACGATCGATAATACGGTTGTTTTTTTCTCATTTCTTAATTAAATAACTGAAAAAGAAATGTATTCCTTTTTTTTTATATAAAAAAAATCAGAAATTATATATACCGCTAAGCGTTTTTTTAAAATTTTGTCAAATTTTATTTTCATTCAGAGTACTTGAACAGATCAAATTTTTGATAACAGAAAAAAAATCATAAATTTTAGAGTTCTTTCAAGGCAATTCAGACGCAAAAGACATGGCCTTTTGATTGTGTTACATCCCTGGCAAATGAGAAGCAACATGAAATATTGCGAGATCTAACTCACGCGAAAGTTCACAGGTGTCACGAAGTACATTTACTCGTAAATAGATACGATATGTATACGATATATTTAAATTATCCAATTATTTATCAACTTATCCAGGAGAGAGATTTTTTTTTCATCATAATGCTCAGATGGATCTTTCATCCTGCATTTCTCAGATCGATCGACATTCAATATTAAATTATGTAATTTATAACATCAGGTTTTTTTCAAATATTTACAATCTCGATTGATAAAAATAATCAGTCTGTTATTCACTATCGCAAGCAAGTAACGAATACTATAATTACTTTTATCAATTGAGATTAAAATATCGTGCGTCTTTTGCAAAGTCTAACAGATTCCAACTCGAGCGTTTCTTTCGTAGACAAATTATCTCGATCTTTGATCTCATTGTCAATTTGATTGTCATTATATAATATCCACTCAACAAACGAGAGTGGATTAAAATGGATTGAAATTTTTTTCTATCCGAATGCGTATTTTAAATAGCGAATATTTTTTTTGGATTTAATTGGATGCGATCCCTGATGAAAATTTTTCTCATAATTTTTATATGAATTGGGATATTTTTCAGAAATACTCAGAAATATTCGAAAAGTTTACATTCTTCTCTCAGAACTTCTCATACAAGTGAATTCTGAAATATTCTGAAATTTCTCATCCCATAATTTTTAAAAAGTATTTTTAAATTTTTTAGATTTTGTAACATTTCATCAGAAATTATATTTACAAAAAGATTTTAAAAAATCTTACGATATTTCATAATTAATATATATGAAAGATTGTATAGAAATTCGAAAAAATTATATGAAAAATTCTGAGAAAAATTTTCACCAGGGATTAAATTGAAAAATTGCATCTTCCTATTCAAAATTTCGAATTGAACAGTATTCATAATGTGTGTGTTGTGCATAGAAAAAGCTAATATTATTTTTAGATTGAAAATAGAGATATGCTCCATGCAATTCCTATAAATGAATGAAAATGCATTCAGGATTGAAAAGCATTCATTTTAATATTCGTGAATCAATATTTCTGAAAATCTGAATTTCAATCCATTCTTGTTTGTTGAGCAATTAATAATTTTTGTTTCTTGTGCCGTTTTGACGGCATTCGGAAGTCATTGCATCATTTTATTTTTGTTTTATACCTAATGAACAATAAATAAGACAAAAATAAAATGATACCATAATGCTGATAGCACATTTTTCAAACGTAACCAATATTTTATTGATTGCGTTCAGCAAAAAAAACAGCTTTGCAACTGTATACAATTTTTTAATATAATTGGTTTACATTTATTAGATCCAGAGAAATTAAGAGAAATTAAGGGCAAGAAGTAGTTATATTAAGGATTTTATGACAGTTTCAAAACTGCTTTTTCTGCTGGGTATCTTTTTCAAGTCTGGGTATCTATTATGAAACTTTATTCCTAAGATGGAAAAATGAAAATTTTAATCATTGAAGTTAATAGAAAACTTTTTCATTTTTCATTCTAGGAAATAAGTTTCATAATTGATACCCTGATCAAGTCATTGAATGACTCATTTGAACTGCGTTCAAAAACTTCACCTGGATGCTTCCAAGTATTATTATTTAAATATCTCTCTGGTAATAGTAAATACGATCTTATTGTTAGTTTCTTCTGTATTTATCAATATTTCATTAAACATTGATTTAGAAAAATTTATGTTATGATACATATTTTCAACGTTTTCATATAATCCCATATTATACTAAAATTTTTTAATTAGGCTTCTACCCTATCATTTTTATTATATTTTGAACAGCAATTATATACGAGTTACTAAATTTATTATAGTAACTCGTTCTTTTTATGGGTGAGTATGCAAAGAAAAGAAGACCACCGATAAAATTGGCGGAAGTGGTGGAGAATCTTCTCGTTTCTGCTAAATTATATCTTAAATTGACAATATATGTTTAGAAAAGTTAGAAAAGTTGAATTTATTAAAAGTCTTTATAATTGTTAGTAATTATAGAGACAAAGTTCACTAAATTGTTTGAATTTTCAATTTCGTTTATTAAAATTCAACAACTTTTATTTACATATGTAGGAGATGCGAAATAAAAATTTTTTCATTCAAGAACTTATACTGTGGATAGTACGTGGATGATACGTTTCTATCCTGAAGATTTAGTACAGAGACGAACCATATCTACTTTCGACGATACGATTTTATCGATAGTGTTAGAAAATGTATATAGTCACGTAGTTCCCCAAACTGAAAATGTACTGACGGTAGTGTACGGGCGATTTCGATGATGATAAGAAAAAGCAGGAAAAAGATCGGCATGACTTCTATGAACTTTCCATTATCCACGTGTGATTTGTGTAAATGTGTAGTAGTATGCGTATGATGCGCGTAGAACTGAGCTAATAAAAAAATTACACTTTCACCCATTCATATTTTCATCCGTTTCGGACATATCTACTTCAATTAGATAATGCTATAAATAATTTTCTTTTAAACAAATTCTCGATCCCTCGCACAAATAAAATTTTTGGCCTGATTGCATGGCACTTCAGGTTATTTCCACTTTCCAAAGCGAAAACTCCTATCTCTCCCACTCTTTCTTTAAAGAGAGAAAGTGAGTTTTAAATCGCTTGAAGTTAAAGAGTACTTTCCATTTGATGATACAAGTCGACACAAATCGACACAAACGTTGTATTTTTCTTGGCATTCACAAAGTGATAAAGATAGAATGACATTTGTATCAACTTGTCATCAAATGGAAAGCACCCGAAGTAACGTGAAATCGGGCCTTATAAAAATATTTACATTATCACTTTTATAACATTATGTTTATAAGAATATTTATAACGTTTATGTCTATATTCTTAATAATGTAATAAATCATAATTATACAAAACGTGTAATTTATATTTTTATCTTTCGGAAACCTTACTGGCTGATTTGACATACATATGTTAATAAATTTTTTTATGAATCTGAATAGGACTTTACGTAACGATTTTCTTTACATATCTTCGAGACCTTCAAGTTTTGTAACGATTCGATTATCGATCCAGTAATTAGTTTCCTATAGTTTACTTTTGAGCGGACACATGTTGCACGTGTGAGTCTTATCGCATTGTCCGATTGTCGTGGCATCTTCCAACAGACCACAACAGTGAGCAGAATTTATACGAGAAGTTATAGCCTAGCCTGCTTTTTCTAAAAATGACCATCACCCTTTACACTACTGAGGTAAAATAAAGAGAATGGAAGAAGATAGTAAAATTTTTATTTTGTTCATTTGACGCTTGTTAAATTTATGTCAATCCGGTTTCTTTAACGGTTTTATTGTAAAACAAACAAGAATTTTTCGTTATTTTGCTTAATCATTCTCATTATCACAGCGTTCAGCAGCGCTCAGCGAGATTCTAAGAACAAGATTCTTTATACAGAAATTTATATTTTTTAGTTTAAAGTAAATCTAGAAATATTCAATATTCAGCATTTAAGATTTTAAGAAAGCTTCGGAAAAAGTCACGCGTCATTTTCATGGTTAAACATTCTAATAAATTATATGTTCGATGTTTGATAACTTTATATTATTACACGATTATAGAATATACTAACTGTATTATGTAAATATAACTTTATTTTTGCGAAAAAATCGAGGAAATCCAATATACTTATAGAAATATAATTTATAGGATTATTTTATTGAAATAATTTTTATTTGCCTAAGATGAATGAGAATATGTCATCAGAAGAAGAGGTGCTGACTGATGTTTCTTGTGAGATATCTAATCACGATAACAATGAAGTATTATCCCTTAAACCTACTTCTTTAGAGGATCAATCTAAGGAAGATCAACCTAAGCAGGATCAACCTAAGGAAGATCACTCTAACAAGGATCAACCTAAGATAGCTCAACCTAAGATGGATCCACTTGAGGAAGATCAACCTAAGGTGGATCAATCTAAGGAAAATCAACTTAAAATGGATCAGTCTAAGATGAATCAATCTGAGGAAGATCGATCTAAGGAAGAGCAATCTAAGGATGATCAATCAAAGGAGGATCAACTGAAAGAGGATCAACCTAAGGAAGAATGGTTAGATATAATTGGCAATGGTCAGCTGATGAAGAAAGTTATAAAGAAGGGCACAAAAGATGTAAAACCAATACAAAAAGATATATGTACATTAAAATTTACTGGTGTGCTTGATGATGGCACAGTGGTGGAAGATCAAGATAATATTTCGATACAATTAGGAGATTTTGAAGTAATACAGGTATTATAACTATTATTATAACATTATTATTGTATTATAACTACCAGTATCTTATTTACAATATATCAAACTACAGGGATTAGACCTAACGATTGTATTAATGGAATTGGGTGAAATTGCTGAAATAAAAATCAATCCTAGATTTGCTTATGGCACACGTGGAGAAGGATCTGTACCACCTAATGCTACTATTACATACATAGTTGAATTGAAAGCAATAGAGGATAATCCTGATATAGAAAGTCTAAGCGTCAAGGAAAGGAGAGAACTAGGGTAATCATTTTATTTATGACCTTTACACACACACACACACACACACACACACACACACACACACAGATATATAATTGAAGATAAGACTTTATATTATTTATCTCTTTCATCATGTTTCATCATGTTATACATTATTTCCTTGTAGTAACAAGAAACGCCAACGTGGAAACTGGTGGTTTGTTCGCAAGGAGCTTAATTTTGCAATACAGTGTTATCGGAGAGCGTCAGAGTATCTACAAATAGACGGTATGAATTGGAACGAAGAAAATGAAGAATCAGGGCCGATTACCGATAGCCAACTGCAGGAACTGTTGGATGATTGCATAAAAGTGTATAATAATTTAGCAGCTGCATTAATTGAGATAGGATCTTACAACACAGCTTTAGAAAATGTAGAGAGAGTTCTGAAGTATCAACCAAAAAATTCAAAAGCTTTATTTAGAAAAGGTAGTAAAAAAAATCTCATCTAAAGTTCTTATTGTTATTTTGTCTTTTTTTTTAATATGTTAACTTTTTTATATTCTTGAATTATATTTTAGTGTATATATCTTTTTACATATATCTGTATTGTTTACAGGAAGAATATTAAAAGCCAAGGGAAATTATGGAAAGGCTTATATGGCTTTCCTTGAAGTGCAAAAAATAGATCCAGATATAAAATCGTTACAAACAGAATTAATGACTTTAAAAGAAATAATTTTAAAACAGACTGAGAAAGAAAAGCATCTGTATGCTAAAATGTTGGGTATAAATAAAGAGACTGATAAGTCATCAAAGAATATAAAAGTAGAAGAAAAAAGTAAACTCGCTAAAGGAATTCTATGGACTGCGATTGGAGCATCTGCCGCTGTCATCGGTATACTTGTACACAGATTTGTTTCATGAAGAAAAAAGAAAATGAATAAAGACCAGAATAATAAACCAGAATTAAATGAGGTACAGAATTAATGAGGTACAAGTATTGTATTTTTTGTGTTTTTAATTAACAGAAATATATAATTAAATATATTAAGTTTTTTAATTACATATCAAGTTATATATTTCTAACGATACAAGATGTTTGATGAATAAATGGTAAATGTAAATGCACGAAACATGGTTCTCTTCTAATTATGTTTATATATATAATATATATATGTGTATATATATGTATATATTGTATGCATATGTTTATATACATACAAATTGATACAATACACAGAATTTATAAAAGAATTACTAATTTATATTTACGTCGCAAATAATTCATATAAGATGTTTATCATAGTTTACACTTATTACTGGTTTATATTTATATTACAAATAATAATTATGACTTTATGATGGTTGAAACATATACGTATTATGATTTAATGATAGATTATTAAAAATTATGAAAATTTACAGTTTTCTTTATATTTTAACATGCTCTATTAAAGATACAATCACACATGATTGTTGAATCCTTTAATCTTATATAAATGGAGATTGAATAAGTTCTCGATTTGTCTGAATCTTTGCACGTATTTTAAACGATACATGTGCAAACTGAAAATATTTGTAAGTTAATAAGTTTCATTAATTTCTATCTTACATATTGTCGAGTAGAAAATGTAAAATAGCGGAGAGGAATAAGGTAAAAAGTATTAACTTTTTAACTAGCTTAACTGGTTAGGATTTTGATTCAGCTATACGTAAAATTTAGATCTGTACAAAAAAAAAACGTTCAAAATTTAATTTTGGATTAATATTATACGTATATATTTTCAATTTCAAAAATGTGTAATATTAGTTATGTTTTAAAGTTGAACTAAATACATCTAGATTAATACATTATTATGTCGCATTTGTCATTTTTTATGTAAAATATAATAATAATTTATATATATTTAATACACATATTAACTTAGTGTACATTCTAACAGTTCGATAAAATTTTACGTTTATACATCTTAATAAAATAATACCTTATATAATGTATAATACAGCTCTGTGTGTGAAAATATTTGTTAAAATATTTGCTATTATACGAGGTAATAAAATTTTTGTACTTTGAAAGAATATGTATTTATTTATTTAAAAAAATTAAAATATTAAATAATTACATCTTGTAGTATAAAAAAATAAATTTTATAAAATTAATAACATAGTCTTCATTAACAAAATAAATAATTTTATATTTTAATAAAATACGATAACACATGATAATGACATTTTAAATGTGAACAACCATTATATTACTAATTAACAACATACATACACATATGATTTTCCATTCTATAAATCTTCAAATATTAAGGAATGCTGGAAACTCATGAGTTAAATAGCTTTCAATCATTTCCATCTTACTATTATTACTTACAAGCGGGAACGAACCTTCAATATTTTCCAATGATATTTCTGAGTAATTTGTATTGTCATAACACATTTGATCGATATTTAGAAGACTATTTTGAAATTCTGTATCTGGATAATCCGGTAAATTCAATATTTCATTACAATTTGTTCCAAGTTGATTAACAAGTTCATTAGTAGGTAACAATTCCGAATTATTGGTAATTTCTACAGTAAGCACTTGTCCCGTGTTTACATCTACTAATGAGAAAACTTGAGGAATAGACTCGACGATAGATAAATTTGTAGATTCTAACGATAAGTTTCGGCATTCGGAGTTTTCTTCAGGATTTAATGATGGTTGTATTTCCAATTGGGAATTAACATTTGCAGCCTCTTTCTTTACATTTATAACGGAATAATCTTTTTCTTTATTTTTTGCAATTGATTCACATCCCTTTTCGGCTTTTATTTTATCAGTTTCTGATCTATTTGGTTTATCTGGCACTGGCACAAGATGGCCATCCTTTGTTTTCATGAGTTTTACCACCTTGAAATTATAATTACGGTTATTTATATACAAAATATATTAAGGAACTATCACAAGAATTTTTTTTACCTTTTTCTTTTTTTCCAGTGTGATTCTATGACAAGTTTCCATGTGACGAGTGAGATGGTGCGAACGTTTGAATGCGGTGTTACATTGCATACAAGCAAACGGCCGATGTTGCTCGTGCGACAATTTGTGTCTCTTTAATAAACTGTTTCTCTTAAAAGCTTTGCCACATTCTTCGCAGATAAATTGTCGTTCCTTACTATGAATATAAAGTACGTGATCCTTGAGGATGCTGACACTGGTAAACGTTTTGCCACAATGCTCGCATACGATATTTCGCTCTTCTACATGCAGATGTTTGTGCCTATCTAGATCTGTCCTTCTGGCACACTGAAACGTACACCCATATATATTACAGACGAATCGCTTTGCGCCCTTGTGAATACGTCTGACATGTTGATCCAGAGCTCTTTGCGTAATTAATTTTTTTGAACAGATTGCACAGGAGAATATAGCTCTTACAGGTATATCCTTGTTAACTTTATTGAGATGTAACGCGGATTCCAAGTGTCGAAAATAGTCATCTTTCTTTACAAATGAGTGTCTACAATCAGCGCAAAAATGTGGACCTGTAAAATAATATTATTAGACAAGTACAAGAAAAATGAATTAATACAATTTAAATATAAATCACCATTTGCCGATTCTTCCTCGTTTAATTTTGGGATATGAACCGCTTTAAAGTGCTCGTGCACCTTCTTCTTCGATGCAAAAGTAATATCACAATGTGGACACTTATAGTTATCGTGATTCTGAATATGAGATATATATGTCTGCTTGATACTGAACGTTTGCGAACATTGCTGGCACTTGAATTGCCTTTTTTTACAATGAATCTCCTTGTGTTCTTTTTCATCTATATCCATGTTTATCATATCTCCGCAATCCGAACATACCTTGCCGTTCTGATAGGTGTGCTTCGCTCTATGACGGTTCAAAAGGGCGCGTTTGGGAAAACTTTTCGGACATACGTCGCATAAATGAGGATGTCTAACTACCTTTTCTCCATGTGCGCGAAACAAATGGACATCTAAATGCTTTCGTCTAGCGAATTTTTCATTACAGTGAGGACAGTTATTTTTCTGATGACCTTCCAAATGACGATCCAAATGTCTTTTATATCTGAACGTCATTAGACATTGCTCACACTTTTGAAACTGTTCATCTCCATCTAATAATTCCAGATTATTAACTTTTACTTCACGTTTCAATTCAGATATAATACTTTGATTTATATTAGTGACATTAGAATCTGTATCTATATTTTCTGTATAAAGTTTGACAGAACAATTGTAGTTCTCTGTGTTCTTATTTTCTAAACATTGATCTTTGTTGAATGTATAGGAATCATTATTATGAACAATCGTTATATTATCTGAATCTTTGCTGTTTGAAAAATTTGAAAAGTTCAGACTCATTGTATTGAAATGTTGAATCGAGTGTGAAATATCAACATCTATAGAGCTATTTTGTTTTGTCTTTTCTTCTTCATTCTTTATACAATTTGTAGAGTCCAAGGTATTTTGTAGAAATAAGCTTTCGATTTTCATAAAATTAAAATCAATACTATTTAAATTAACATCATCTAAACCATCTCCTTGTAAACTAATGTCTGTAACACCTGTAGAATTAGCTGCTAGACCGACTTCAGAGTTCTTATTTTCTAGATTGCTGATGCATTCTCTCAGATAATCATAACTCTCCATTTCACCATTCTCCATGCACACATTTGGAATAGCATCCAGTGTGGAATAATCCTAAAAGACAAATGAGCAATATAAAAGTTACTAAAGTCTAAAATGTATAATGTAATCTTTGCTTTCTATTTCTTGCTTTTTTGTTCTTTATGACTGTTTTATTTTGATAAAATTGTCTTTTCTGAAATTTTATCTTGGGACAACAGCTAAGATAAGAGACAAGGGAGAAGTGAAAAAAAAGTGATAAAAAGCAAAAAAACAGAAAGCAAAGATCACAGATTAGACTTAAATGAAATATATCTAAAAAGACAACCGCAGCAGTTTCATAATAATAACTCATACAAACAGTTCATTATTTTCCATTTCTCACCTCGTTGTCGAACAAACGGAGCGTCATCATTCCAAATTACGGAGCCTTAATAATAAAAATCTGATATTTATACGTGAATGCGATTATTACATATCAGGAGAGGTTACATTTAACTTATAAATAGTAAGTGGATTTATGTCCAATATTCGTAAAATTATTACACGAATTGAATACTTGAAGCATTCGTAGTATAATTGCACGACACATAACCTAAAAAGAGCTGAAAAGTACAAAAAGTTGAAAACGTCATATACTGTAGATGTACATGTTGCACATACATATTGGAAATATAGATTGTGCTACTTCATTTGGAACGAAAAAAGAAGGATTAAAAAATATTAGATAATTCTAAAATAATTAAAGTTTTCATGACATTTACATAAATAAATTAATTTATATTATATTTCTGGAAAGTGTCCAATTTCGTATAAAAATTTCATCAGGGGTGTAATTTAAACTATAGTCTCGATATACTATGATATAAATACTTCAAAGCATTTTTTGATTGGTCAATTAATAAAATTCTTTCTTTCGATTGGTCAATCAAAAATTTCGAAATATTTGTATCATGAAGTGGACCGCTCCCAAATCTTAGATCTGTCGCATTGCTTGCACTTTTTGCACTCAACATCTTTGCCTTCTCTCTTTTCAATGCGAAAATATATATCTATCCGATTTTAAGTACAAAAATATTTGGTGATTTCAAACAATAAATCTCTTGTTTACACCGGACATTTAATATATACTAATTAGTAAAAATATTTTTTTATGTTGACGTTTATTTTTCGTATTAAAACAGATCGTAATAAAAATTGATAAATATATCTATCTATTAGTATCAATTAGCATAAATTTTGGTCACGTAATTTATTTTGCTGCTAAAAATGGGGCATCAGCATGAAAATCTTAAATTTCTATTAATTATCTTAATTTCAGCAATGCCTATAAACGTATAATATATACGATATGACTATAATTTAATTAATCTAGAGATGCATATATATTCATCTTTAATTTAGATATTCATTTATTTATTTATTTATTTATTTTAACTTATATATTCATTTATTTTATATCAAACAGCTGGAATAATAAAATGCATAATTGTTTACGAATTATCTAAATTTTTTTATTGCATTAAATTTTTATTAGAATCCACAATATATTCTAATTATAGCTCTTGAATTGATTCACGTCGTATGAGAGTGAAGTTGGCCGCGCGACTTTCGAATTTCTTCCGTTACGTTCGAGACTCGTTCCAACTTATTCGCAGAACGCCATCAGCTCAAGTAAGTTGTATTTGCGTGATCGTACTTTTTTCGCATTTATAACTCGTTTCGAAATATATAATAATTCGTCTCGAAATAAGATATTTGTCACGTGTCGAGACCGCGTGTATTTCGTCGAGTTTTGATTACTGCGAGCGATCGTAATTCACCGCTTTTCACAAATATCGTGCCGGTCGTGCGAACGAAAAAGGAGCCATTGTGACATAGGAAAGGCAGGAGGAGAAGGTGGCCCGGAGAGATATAGGATGATGGCAGAGGAATCGTATCGTGAGTGAATTATTATTTGTTCATTCTTTCTTGAAAATTATGTAATGCAAATATGCATGCGGTAACGTTTCAATCTCGCTCCGTTAAAATTGTCTTTTCCATATATATACAATGTCCAGCTTGTTTCAATATCCAAGATAGCGCATCATTGTCAAAACAATTAAGGAGTACATTCTGTTTCACGCATGATGTGCATAATGCATCATTTATTCTTGACATTCGGTGAACAAGGATAAATTATGCATCATGCGTATCAAACGGAATGTACCCAAGATCATACTGATACTTATGGAGTACTTATGGAGTATAAGGATGCTTTTTATTTATTGTCCATTTCTGCCAATGTTATAAATTAATTTCAATCTCGATTTAATTTAATTACTTTATTTTTTTAATTTTTAAACGGTTCCACAAATATAAAAAATTAACTTTAATTTCTATCTATCTTTTAATTATAATTTTTACAATTAGAAAAAAATAGATAGTAAATTAAATTGAGATTAAAATTAATTTTCATTATTAAAAAAGAGACATAAATATCATTCCACCTTTCTATTCTGAGAATAATAAAAATATAAGAATGTCGATTTATTAAGAACATTTATGTCGATTTATGTCACCAAATAGAAAGTACCCAATGTAATCAGCCCTATTTATAGTTGAAGAATGTTTGAATGCAACGAAATATTTTTTTAATGTCATCTATAGTGCGAATAAAATTTGAATTATTTCTCCGACAACAAGAAATCATTTTACAAAATATCCTTTAATATAATGTATATAAAATATGCACATATATATTATTTTGAAATGCTTGAAACGTTTTAATAAAATATTTAGAATATGTATAAAATGTCACATTAAATATATAAAATTATTAAATGTTATTTTATAATATATTTTGTCTAACATTTTAATATTTTATCATGTTGGAAAATTACAGATAGTTCTAAAAATTAGAAAAAGATGAAGATGAATCAAGATTAAAGTTAATTTACATTGATAGAAACGGGCCTCAGACTCTTAACTTTTTAACTTAATTTAATTACATTTATTCGGTAATTATTAACATTTAATTTGACTTTACCCAACTCTGTCGATTATATGTATACTGAGCGCATATTTTTGAGGAGAAAATACTTCATAGTCAAAAGGAGTGACAGAAATATATTCAGTTTATTTCATATGCACCATCGTGTATTTCACATTTAGCTATTAGAATTTTTTTTTAAGTGTTGTAATTTTGAACGATACATTTACATATACGTCATAAATACATACAGTTTTATGCTGGGATTAACTCTTTCGGCAGAGGTACTTTCGACTCAAGACCAGACGGCTGTATTTCTTTTAAGAGATCTGCGATAGCTCGTATATGTGCATATATTCGCCATCAATTTTGTGATCTGTGAACATGCTGAACTTCCTTACAAGGCAAAGACTCTTACAAGCTATGATATGTATCTTTGTTTGTGTGCAGTTCACAATACTTCCTTAGTCCAGTTCTTTAGCCCGACTAATTAGTTTAGTAAGACAAAGAAGATATCCAGGTAAAAACAGAGAGACTTTTAAGAAAACGTGCATATTTATACGCACGCGCACACACACACACACAACACACACACACACACACACACACACACACATGCATATGTGT